AGATGATACAACAGTGGTGGGGCTTATCTCCGAAGGAGATGAGTCTGCCTACTGGGATGAGGTAGACCGGCTGTTTTCGTGGTGCGGAGACAATAATTTGGCCCTTAATATCAATAAGACCAAGGACCTTATAGTGGACTATAGAAGGAATAGATTAGATGTCCAGCCCCTGGTTATCAATGGAGACTGAGTAGAGCGGGTGGCCAGTTTTAAATTTCTGGGTGTTACCATAAAGGAGGACCTGACCTGGGGTGCTCATATTACAGCCTTGGCTAAGAGGGCCCAGCAGAGATGATACTACCTGAGACTTCTCAGGAAACAACAACTGAATGAAAAACTGCTGGTGACCTTCTACCGCTATACTATAGAGAGCATTTTAACCTACTGCACCTGTTTATGGTTTGCTAACTGCACAGTGGCAGATAGGAAAGCGCTCCAGAGGGTTACCACCATTGCCCAGAGGATCACTGGTTGCCCTCTTCCCTCTTTGGAAGAACTTTATAGTTCCCGCTACCTTAAGAAAGCTCAAAACATTCTTAAGGATCCATCCCACCCGGGACATTCTTTTTTTGAAGTACAGGATAAAGAAAACAAGGACAAATAGGCTGAAGAATAGCTTTTATTTTAGAGCTGTGACTATACTGAACTCTGTCGTATAGTGCAGTATTAATGCAGCATCGGGTTGTGCAATGGTGAATGGAATGTGAAGGTTGTGTTTTATGTGTTTTATGTGTTTATGTGTTCTATGGTTTTTATATTTTTAAAGCTGCACTGGGGTGGCATTTAATCTTGTTGTACGAGAAGTACGATGACAATAAAGATTACTTTACTTTATTGTAACTCAACTTGCAAATAGAGGAATTAGATTCGGGATACAGATCTTCTGTTGTCTTCACCAGAGAGGTTTCCTCAGGGTTAAGTTTTAAATACAGGTGGTCCTCTTTTAGCAACTGCCTTGTACAGTGATCATTCACAGTTACATTGATGAAAAAGTAACTTTGCGACCAGTCCTCACATTTACGACCTTTGCAGGTCTGTAAAGCAAAGGGAAGCTGAAATAAGATCATAAGCACAGTTGCGGTTTCACTTAGCGACCTCTTTGTTTAACAACAGAGTTGCCAGTCCCAATTGTGGTCACTAAACAAAGACTATCTGTAATGTGCAACTAAGGGCAGCTCCATGTATGGTGTTTAGCTCTGCACCCATATGGCAGTTTAGTCAATTTAATTCTGGTAAGTTGGTAGAGGATAGGAGCCACTTGATTGTCCCCTTAGTGGTATGGCTGGATTAATATCTTTCTAAATATCTTTTTCGCATCTACCTGGATTTGGACTGGGCCTCTGGACTTGGACTTTTTTGGCTTTTGGTTGGTTTGGAACCAGAGGACAGGACTGTGTTTGTTACTGGCCACTCTGACCACACCTGCTACATTGCTGCACCCTCGAGCCAAGCACATTGGAGCTGTTGGCAGCTGGGTGCATTGGGAGGTTCTGAGAGTGGAAGAGCAGGCCAGAGTGGGCTGGAGACCAAAGGAGTGGGTTAGAGTGGGCCACAGCAATCACTGCCATGTTGTGGCCCAGGCACTGCCATGTTTGTTGGCTGTATATGTCGGTGAGATGCCAGCCAAGACTCTGGAGCCTTGGGGTATTGGCGGTAGCTGGCTTGGGGGGATAGCAAGAGTGGCAGTCTGCTGTGGACCCTTCCCCCACAGAGCTTTTTCCTCTGTTAGCTCCAAAGAGAAGGAGGAGATGATTACTCGCCTCCCAACTCTGTCTGCTGGCTAGGAATCATACAAACTCCTGTTTATATGATTCCACCCCCTTGGGGTGAGAGGCTGAGGAAGGGGTTGGGTGGGTGGGAAGGGAACCCTAATTAGTGGGTGAGAGTGGCTGGGAGGGGTTTCCTGTGGGTGCTAGTGTGAGTGTGTCTGTATACGTCTGTGTGTGTGTTTGTGGGGAGAGTGGGGGAGGTAAGTGCTGGGTACCCTGATGGCTCTGAGTGCTGATAGAGCTGAAGTGCCTCAGGGTGCCTGGCTTTCCCTCCCTGGGATGGATATAAGTGAACACTATGGGAGATCCCTGACCTTGGGAATTGTGGGCCCTGGAGAGGAAGATAATGCAGCCTTTTGGGGGGAAATGGGTGGGCCACAGTATTATGGTGGTGATGGGCATGGGGAGTGGGAGAAGAGGAGCAGGCCGTTCCTGGGGAATGTGGGACCAATGTCATGTTCCAGCTCCTTGGTCTCAGTCCCTGTACCTGGACAGCAGACTTTCAGAGGCCCTGGCTTCCAGCTACTGCTCTTAAATGCCAGGTTGGTCTGTAATAAGGCTTCCCTCATCTGCGATTTATTTGTGGATGAGAGGACTGACCTGGCATGTATTACCAAGTCCTGGCTGGGCCCGGAAGGGAGAGGGGTCTTTTTGGAGATATGCCCAGCCAGGTTTCAGATGTGGCCCCAGCCAAGAACCCAGGGCAGAGATGGTGATGTGCAATTGTCATCCGAGAATCACTTACAGCTTTCAAGGGCACTGCCCCACAGGTCACCAGATGTGAGACTCTGTTCATGAAGTTGGGCTCTAGGGATCAGTTGGGATTATTGCTGTTGTGCCAGTCTCCCTGCTGCAGAACAACCTCCTTGTCTGAGTTCCTTGACTTCATTTCCAGATTGGTGTTAGAGTTCCCCAGACTTATGGTCTTGGAGGACTTCAATCTGCCTTCCTGGGAGTGGGGTCTGAGACGGCTCAGGAGTTCATGGCTACCATGAAGGCCATGGGCCTACCCAGGTCACCCAGAGCCCGACACAGGACAATGGTCACACACTGGATCTGGTATTCCTGTTAGGGCAGTGGCTATATGATCTGCAATTGGGGGAGCTTTTGGTGTTCCCCTTGTCATGGTCAGATCACACCCTGATTACCATGAGGTTCTCTGGCACTGCTGTCCACTGCAGGGAGGCTGGACCCATTAGATTGGTCCACCCCCAGTGACTGATGGACCCGCATGGGTTTCAGAGGGAGCCGGGGTTTGTTCCTATCAGTTTGCTGCACAGTCCATCTGAAGCTTTGGTTGCCACTTGGAACAAGGGGGTAGCTGAGGCATTGGATCGGATCATGCCCATGTGACCTCCCCTCTTGGGGATCCTATCACTCCTCATGGTTTCCAGAGGAGCTGAGGGAGATTAAACTGGAGAAGAGACATTTAGAATGTAGCTGGCACTCAACTAAGGACAAACTCAACCAAACATGGGTCAGAGCCACTATTAAGGCCTACCTTGTGGCAGTAAGGGTGGTGAAGTGGCAGTACTTCTCCACCCTTACTGTCTGCAGATTGCCACCCCGCAGCCTTGTATCGGGTGACATGAGCCTCTTGGGTAAAAGGGGCCTGGGGAACCTTTTGCAGGGATGTGTGAAGGAATTTGCTCGGTATCTGTTGGACAAAATTGCTCGGATTCGCTTGGAGTTGGATGCTGGCCTTACTGCAGGTCTGGAGGAGGTGCCTAGGGTGGAGTCTTGCCCAATTATCTGGGAATGGTTTGAACCTGTTGGACCTGTGGAAGTGGACAGGGTCCTTAAGACTGTTAGCTCAGCCAACTGCTACCTGCTCTTTAGATCCATGCCCCTCCTGGCTTGTGAAAGCAGCCCAGGGGTGGGGTTGTGTGAGTGGGTTCTGGCAGTGGTGAATTTTTCTTTGAGTGAGGGGGTTGTTCCTTGAACTCTTAAGGAGGCTTTGGCTTTGGTTCGCCCCTTCCTCAAGAAGCCACCACTGGACTCCAGGAAACTGGACAATTTTTGTCCAGTATCCAACCTCCCCTTTTTGGGGAAGGCGATTGAGAAGGTGGTTGCGTAACAGCTTCAGAGGACCTTGGATGAAGTGGATTATCTGGATTCTTTTTAGTCAGGATTCAGACTGGGTATGGAATGGAATGGAAACAGCACTGGTTGCACTCATGCTCTGGTCACCTCCCAGTTGGACTATTGTAATGTGCTCTACATGGGGCTGCCCTTTAAGAGTATTTGGAAACTTCAGCTGGTGCAAAATGCAGCAGTGCAAGCAGGTACGTGTGTTTCTGCTAGAACACATGTTACACCTCTGCTTTGTGGGCTGTATTTTTACCAGTTTGTTTCCAGGTCAAATTCAAGGTACTGGTATTGACTTTGAAAGCCTACGTGGCATAGGACCAGGTTACCTGAGGGACCGCCTCTTCCCAATTACATCTGCCTATCCCACCAGATCCAGCAGAGAGGGTATGTTACAGGTTCTGTTGTCAAGGGAGCTACATGTGGCGGGCCCTAGGTGGCAAGCCTTTTCTGCTGTGTGCATCCACATTGTGGAATATACTCCCCCCTGAGGTGAGGCTGGCTCCATTACTTCTGATTTTCTGCAGGTCCCTCAAGTCCTGGTTGTGCCATCAGGCTTGGGGACCCCAGGGGACTGGTGAACTAGGAGGTGACTTCATTATTATTAACATCCCTTCACCTACTACTTTGTCTTAGCTCTGTTTTTCATAGTTTTTATGTTTTTAATAATAGTAATTATAATTGTTTTAAGTATTTATTAATTGTTTTAGCTTTGTTGTACGCCACCCAGAGTCACTTGTTTTGTGAGATGGGTGGCTATATAAATTGGACAAATAAATAGATAAATAAAATTCTGTCTCAAGTGCAGTTTTCCTATACAAGCATTACAGCTCTGTTGATGAGCACGTGTAGAGAGATTCTTTTCCTGCTGGTAGAAAATCTTGCTTTTCTTTGCTTGCAGTCTCTCTCTTCCCTGAAGAAATGACTTTGCCCTGCCATCATGCCATTTTAAATTGAGTACATGAATCGTAATTTGATGGATTGGTAACTTCCCTGAACTCAGTTGCTTTCCAAAACACCAGCCATGGTTGGAGAGTTGGACACTGGTTCAGTACTGCTATTTCTGTCCTTCTGTTGCTCAGCTGGAGGGTGCATGGATTGCCTCAAGTGGTGTTTGTTGTATTTTGAGATTGGCAGTGAGGAGGAGGATCACGGGTTGGATTGAAACTGAGTCTGGAAACTCTGTCATTTGAAGATATACTCAAATTCTCTATCTCACAATGATGAAAATCAAAGCAGCTCACATTTATTATTGGGTTGTCCTGTCAGGACCAGTTCTATAAAGCTGCTTTTGCAGCCTGGCACCATTCTCATGTGTTAGAAGACAACTTCCATAATCTGCAGCTGGCAGTCCCAGTAATGGCAACTGACTGGGGGAGATGGCCTTGAAGAGTTAAGGTTCTGGACCCAATGGGAAGAGAGTTGAGGTCAATATAGCCCAAGGGCAGGCAACCTATAAATCACATGAGTCTCTGAAAATGCACCACTGAAATACAGTGACAAAACAGTTGAATTTCAGCAATAGTTTTTTTTAGTACAACTCTCTGTCCCCCGCCCCCTATCAGGAAAAAAAGGTGGGAATGGAAGCACAGGGCATTTGGGAGGGGAAATACTCCCATTCCCACTGTTAACCTATAAGTGCCAAATTCTGCAAAAATGTTCCCCAGAATATAAACCACTCTTCTGTGAATTTTAGTCATACAACAATTACATTATCAAGCAACATAGTATTTTGTTTGTGCATGGTGAAGGAAAATGTAGAAGATTCATCTGAGTTATACTGTGTCTGTGTGAGTGTGTGTGTGTGTGTATTGTTTGTTTGTTTTATATTTGTATTCACTGTCAAAGCAAAATGACATGACTGAATCTTTGCATTTGTGCTAGGCTTCTGAAGAACCATCTGTCTTCAGAAGTGTCAAAGTACTGTTAAGACTTTAGAAATAAGAGTTAATAAGTAGCAATTCATTGAGTAGAATGGCATCCATGCAGGAATTCTTGAAGAACTGAAAGAAGAAACTGTTAGTTTTATAATTAAAAATATGTAAGATCAGAAAGTGTTAAATAGTTCACCATAATCCTGTTAAATGAATTGCACTGTGGAAGATCTTCACCCAGTAGCTTGGAGAGCCAGTGTTGGTCAGTATCACCAACATGGAATAGTCTAACTGGGTTAAATGATAGCTTTAATACTTTTGAGTGTATTAAAATATTTGCAAATACAGTGATCCTGTAGACATTATATAACGTACATAGTCCCTGGGTTAAGAACACCCAGTTTAAGGACAACCCACAGTTAAGAATGGAGCCTATTGTATTGTAGCAAAATTTGAGTTAAATACACAATGATTCAAGTTAAATATACTGTACAATGGTTCGAGATAATTACACAATACTACTTATACAGCATTATACAATAATACTGCTCCGACTTACATACAAATTTGAATTAAGGACAGACCTTGGGAGTGGAACTCATTGTTCCTAACTGGGGACTACTTGTATATCTATTTTTGCATGACATCCAAATAAATACAGCATACATCACCTTCTGGTTTGGTCCTTTGATAGAAATCAGAAGAGAACAAATTGAATATTTTCATGTTAGAGAAAATGTATTTATTCATCAATTATGCTGAGTTATGGTAGATTATGATGAATTAGGAAAAACTGGGTAAATCCAGAAGACATGAAATGTGTTTGTGTGTGATTTTTTGTGAAACATTTATATTTGGGCTCAAGAATGTCATTACTTTCGATGTTTCTCTCAGTAGCCATACTCTTTCTATAATAAGTTCAAAATTATCACTAGAACTCAGGAAGAAGGAAGAACCATTGGTCTATCTAGTTCAGTACTAGCAAACCTGGCTGACTGTGAGTTCCTGGGATTTCAGATCTGAATCTTTCCCATCTCTGCTTGAAGAGTCTACAGACTGAACCTTAGTTTGAAGCACGCCTTTTAAAAGTACTGAGAAGTTATTTGCTAGGGATTGTAATCGCTGTTCCATTAAGATAGACTCAGACTTGAGTATTTGATGCGTATTTTCTTTTGAAAATTAAATCTCAGTCCATTGCAGAATATTGGGGTATAAGTTTTACATGGGTGTTCATTGCGACGTTGCAGTGGAAACTGCCCCTTTTGTTCATGTGTTACAACATTGCGTGCAAGTGCATAAGAGGTGGACACATACTTTGTCACCTGGGTGCACTTCTGGATTCAGCAGATGCCTCTGTATGTGCACTCTTTAAAAACAAAAAACAATATAAACCCTGTGTTGTCTTTTCTGATGACATGATCCTGGGAAAAAATGATTTTTCATTCATTTCATGCACAACATAGAGATCACAGATGAAAACTGCTCTTTAATCTTTCATCAAATCTTGATCATCGTTAACCAACATGGCAGATCCAAGCCGCACCCAGAGAATTGTCACATAAACAAAACTGTCCCAGCTTACTTCACTATTGGGAGTAGATCTTCAGTTCATCTTTGAAGAGTTAGTGGAGATGCTTTGTATGTGCTCAGTATTCTCCCTTTCCAAATTCTACTTTAAGGAGTTTGTAAAACAGTGATATCATGAGGTCCATTGGTTAAATTGGGTTTTGTGACCATGCACTCATTTTTCTGTTTCCTTAAACATGTTTAATACCCGCTTTATGCTGTTTTATGGGTAATATCTAGTAAAGCCTGGATTTCTGTTTCTTTTCCTCCTCGTTGCTTCTAGGGGACAACAAAGGGGAGGAGGTAATGGCATCTTTGGCTGTTCTAACAAAATTGTTTCTCTGTCTTGTTTCTTTTAGGGAGCTCCTGTTGTCTGTAGCTTTGGGACAAGTCTTATCCCTGCTAATCTGTGGTATTAGCCTAACCAGCAAGTATTTGTCAGACGATTTTCATGCCAACACCCCTGTCTTTCAGAGCTTTCTGAACTACATTCTCCTATTTTTGGTCTACACCACAACATTAGCTGTTAGACAAGGTAAGTGGCATTTGCCGCATGTAGACTGGTTATTATATCAGTTCCTGAAATTTTACATGGCCTCATCTTTTTCCTTTATATTAACTTCGATCTTGTCCCATAACAAAATATACTGTAGTATAACTAGATATGATTTTAAAAAGGCAATAAAATGATGTGCTGATGTAGACAGGAATAGGTTAATTGTTACCAAGGTGCAAAATCACCATTACATGTTTTGCTGGTATAAAGTACTCTCAGAAGAACAGACTTTTGATGAATATATTCCTTAGAAGAAAATCTTATGATTTTAAATAATAGAAAGCTGATAGATGAGTTTGTAGCTCATCTAAGGGAAAAAATTAAATAAAACAGAGGTGATTGCTTAGGAGGTTAAGTCTAGAAAGATATTGAAATGATGAGATGGATTTCTTTGATTTCCTATTAAACAAGGGCAACATTTTCATGTTCACTGTAATGTAAGTAAATAGAATTCTATTCATGTGGATTTTCCTCTCCTTCCCAAAATTCTTGATGGTCAGAGGAGCATCCAGTATGGCATGGGAGTTGCAACAGGAGGTAAGGAAGAATGGAATTGGGAGGGGTTTCTAATCATGGTGAAATACCTCAAGGCAAGCCAGGCTTTTGTCTTCAAATACTTGAATTAGGCTAGCCCAACTTAGTGCCTTCCAGATGTTAGACTACAACTCATATAGAGGATCCAGACAGTTCCATTGGAGACCAAAGCATTGTGGTTGGCTTTAACTACAGAATGGCAAAGATGAGTAAATCAAATGTACAGTAGCTATTTCAAATAGCATGAATCCACCCAGTGTGTGTGTGTGTTTTAATTGGAAAATTCTTAATAAAACTGTTTGCTGATGAGATGCACCCCTCTCCCTCTCCCTCTCCCTCTCCCTCTCCCTCTCTCTAAATGCTTCTCTATCCACGAAGACTTACAATTGCACCACTGTGGCTTTGCACTATTAGTACAGCATCACTTGATATCAGTCCATATAGCTTCTGTAGTCTTCTGTGCCATATTTCATACTATTATTGAGTATCCCACATCCATCCAAAGCACCTTCTCAGACATGGAGAGCAGAAAGTAGGAATGAAGCTTCTCTGAAAAGCTAGTTTCTGGTAAGAGCATAAGTATTGTCCATTTGTACATGAGTGCAGAACCTCAGCCTAGGGCCAACTGTAGCCCTGCAAAATCATGGGTCTGGTCCCTCATAGCTACCAGTTTGCTGCCAAATGGTACATTTAGCATGACAGAAAGGAAAAATGATTAAATACACAGGGAATTATATTTTAATTGTACTTAATCAAACACATTCAACAGTGATATTAAATTGATCATTTATGAGTTATGTCACAAAATTCCAACTGGCTAGGAAAAAAGGACACATCATTACATTAGAACAAAAGAACCTGTTGGATTTATTTATGTAAATGGTTTATAGAGCCGTCGTGATTCTGGGTGACATACAGAGATTAAAACCAGCACCATCAGAACATATAACCTGGCACCCTGGTTAAAATAACAATCCCCCCCAAAGCAAAAAGCCATATCACCAGCAGAGCTTGCTTAAACTCTTGGCTAAATACCTGGGAAAATAGCCAGGATTGGATACAACCTGTTGTTTTTAAAACACATAGGCAATATAGTGCCCTTCAGATATTTTAGACATCAATTCCCATACCCATTTCTATTACTTCTATCAGTTCAGGCAGATAGGGGTTTGAAATTCAAACATGAAGAATTTTATTTTATTTTATTTTATTTTATTCAGCTTAGGTGCCACTCAACTCCAGTCAATTCTGGGTGGCTCACAGGATAAAAACAAAACAGCAAATATACAATAAAAAAGAGCATATAACTATAACTGATGGAAAATCCAGTCAACAACACGAACATGTCATACATTCACACAGTTGGATTGTGATATTAGGTTGGCTAACCTAAAATACTAGGAATTTCCCAGTCTTCTTGATGCAATCCAGGGTAAAAAGCATTATAGTTTGGCAACTCCCAATTTTCTCAATAATGCAGCTGATATTACTGCAAAACAAGGGAAGAAAATTGAAGTGCATAAGTAAAACATTACCTTGCTGTTTGTTGGAACCCTTTTAATATAGAAGTCCTCAGTTCAGCATTTGGCTTCTGTGAATTATTTATATTTTTCTTCCAAGAATTTGCAGATGCTTCTGTCTCTGGGTTGTCTGCAAGCAATCAATGCTTCCTTCCTTACTCTGGTTAATTTCCAGTGGACAAATTAGTGTTCGTTTCCATTCTATTCCTTTTGCCTAGTTCTATTACACCAATAGGATAGATTGTTACAAAAATGATTTGCAATTCACATTAAGGTGAACAAGTAGCTGTAAAATCTTAGCAGACTTAATATAAAACATGAGCCTTTGCCCTTGAGATGTCCAGTTTGCACTACCCAGATCCCACTGATTTGGCACAGAGATGGGCCTATAGAGTTAGCAATCAGGATTTTGCTTGTTGACTGAGTGCAAAGATGGGCCAAGGGCTCCATTAACTTATTACCCTGGGAATAGTTTTACCTCTGCTCTTCCCTTGAGCATTCCCTGCTCTTCCCCAAGCCACAATACAGTGGTACCTCGGGATACAAACTTAATCCGTTCCGTGACTCTGGGCGTATCCCGAGTTGGTCGTAACCCG